CGTGGGAAGGTCATGACACTTAAATCAGTAGTCAGGCTAAGACTGAATCCCTACAGTCTGCTGGGAATTACTTCCCAAGGAGCCAGTATCTGTACACAGCTTTTTCTGAGAAAGCCCAAACAAGCAAAGGTTCCCACCTGAGGGTGCTGAGCAAGGCCCCTGGCCTCACACTGTGCCCTGTGCAGACACACAGCTACTGTGACATCATCCAAGCAAAGGCCTGACTTTTGTTAAGTATTAAAAGCAGAAGCTTGCAAGGATCACTAGCCTCCAACAGGGGGTTCAGCTTTCCAGTCTTTGATGCCCACTTTATACCAGGCATCTGTAAGAAAACATAAGGAACAGCTTCAGGGGGGAACCAGAGACACTGAGGTTGGCTTCAAACTCCTGCAGTCCTCCTGCCTCAGCCTCGCCAGTTCTAGGGTCACAAAAAGGAGGGGGGGGGGCAAAGATGAAGCTAACTTAAAGGTCCTTGCAGGGATTCGATTCTGAAATCTTCTTGTCAGGGACAAATTGAACATGTTCTTGATTTTTTTTTTTTTTGAACCAAAAGTTTAACCCTCCTTCCCTATCCTTCACTAATATTCAAAAGAAAGCCACTAGTAATTGTTAGACTTTCCCAAGCAGTTTTAGTTTTTACAGGTATAAATAGCATTACCAAACTACATTAAACAGGGGTTGGAGCTCCATTGCTAGAGTGTTTGTTTAGCATCCAGAAAGGCCTGGGTTCAATCCCAAGTACCAATAACCCATGTGTGGTGGCACAAGCCTGTTAATCCCAGGTAGAGGCAGGAAAATCATCCTAGGCTACTTAGTGAGTTCCAGAACAGCCTGGGCTGCACCTGACTGCCTCAAACACCTTAACAAACAAGAGCAGCAAAATAACCATCAAATATTACAAAATGATAAATGTGAGAAGCCTTTAAATACCCAAAGTTAGGCTGGGTGTAGTGGCAATGCCTTTAATCTCAGTCCCCAGGAGGCAGAAGCAGGCAAATCTCTGAGTTCTAGGGCACCCTGGTCCACAGAGAGTTCCAGGACAGCCAGGGCTACAAACAAACAAACAAGCACTCTAAATTAAACACCATTTTGAGCCATTTTTCGGTATTTATTATTTTTAGGATAGAGTCTCACTATCTCTGCCTGATCTGTAACTCACTATGAACATCAGACTGGCCTTGAACTCACAGAGGTCTGTCTACTCAGAGTTTACTTTTTAATTCATTTATTAATTTGTGTGTGTGCATGTGTGTACACACATATCACACATGATGCACGGAAAGGAAAGAGGACAACTCGTAGAAGTCATTTCTCTCCTTCTACCATGTGGGCTCTGGAGGTCAGACTCAAGTTGTTAGGCTTGTGGCTGGCACTGCTTCCCTCTGAGCTATCTAGATGATATTTAAACCTTTGTACATCCAGGATCTAGACTGAGTTTTACAACCTAGCAAGAAACTAGCTCGGGAGTAAAGTGATGCTGAAAGATTACAGAAACAAAGCAATTCAGCAGCGAACCCAGTCAACACCACTAAAGCAGCCCAGGAGCCAGTTCACCAGATCTGTATCTTCTAACCAACCTGTCTTTCTGGATTCTGCTACTGACTTGATCTAGAAAGAGACGTTATATGCCAAGGTCAAGACTTACAACAGCAGGACTGTGGCCAGGTGGGCACTAGCCTTACTTTGTAAAGGTGAGGGATGGATCTCACACAAAGGTATCCCAGCAGCCCCCTGGCCCCGAATGTGAGACAATGTCCTCAGGCAGCAAAGAAAATCCAGACTTCGATCAAGTGTTTGTGCATCCTGAAGGCTACAGTTTGGAGACTACAAAAACATGATTTCCTAGCTTTTCTCAAGTGCTGGGATGATGAAAGCAAGGATATTTGCCCCTGGCTCTCTCACCTGACCTGGCTAAGTGTCTCAGGAAATTTCCCAAGAGGAAAGCAAACCATCTTCAAAGGTATAACTACCAGAAGCATGGTGCCAGCCTCTTCCCTTCTAGGTCAACACTGAAGTATTACCCTCAGTTTAGACCTCAGACTCTGAGCAGACTTTTTTTTTTTTAAAGATTTATTTATTATGTATCATGCTCTGCCTGCATGTGTGCCTGCAGGCCAGAAGAGAGCACCCAATCTCATTATAGATGGTTGTGAGCCACTATGTGGTTGCTGGGAATTGAATTCAGGACTTGTGAAAGAGCAATCAGTGTTCTTAACCTCTGAACCATCTCTCCAGCCCGAGCACAGCTCTTATGTGTGTATTCTACACCTGGAAATTGGTATGTGTGACTCATTTTCTCACATATGACTTCATGAGACTCAAACAGGCAGCCCAGTTTCTTAAAATTAAACACGGCAGACCCTTCCTCTAATGGGGAATATGCGTGCTCATGTACAATTTTTCTATCACTATAATCCTAAATCACAAAATCTAGGACAACATTATGAAAGACTGTTTATATCTAATATTCATACAAGGCCAGGCAGGACAAATGCAAAGTATGCAAAGCAAGCAGACCTTTAGGAAAAGCAGTAGCTCACTTTGTGTTCTTCTGTGAGGCTGAAGGTACAAAGGAAAAGACCTAAAATCTGGCCTTGGTCTGCCTAGGACTGGGCATAAAATACCCTCCCTCCCCGGCTGAGTTTCTCTAAGAGTTCACAGCAGTGCTCCAGGCTCTTTTATAGCTTTAATGAACTGGGTGGGTGGGACTATTTACTTCTGCTTTACATAATGTTATAGCTGTTAGCAGCAGCTCTTTCTCTCTTGTACCTGGTACTTGGCCTGCACAATTAGCACCCTATTACAGCCTTAATTACTAACTGGCTCAATTAAGTATTTCATTTTACCATCTGGTTCATGCACTAGCTCAAGGGCCTGAACACCTCAGCTACAATAAATCCTAAACTTCTTTTAAGCAAGTGCCTGATTTTTCACATCTTTAGGTCCATGAGGCTGTCAGGCATTCAAAGGCACTAGAACACTTCCTGAATGTTTGGCTCTCTAAGAATCTCTCAGATTCTGGAGGGCTCTTGTCTTAGCTGTTTGTGGAGTTTAGCTTTACTCTGTTTGCATATAACCTTTCCCTTTATCTGAAGAGGTGGGCTAAAGCAGGCACAAGACTTATCAACATCACATTCCATGTTTCTCTAAAGAGGATTCATGAGAAGTGAGTTCATGTTAGATTATCCATCCTTGCTTTAGAAATTAAACCTGTGACCTGAAAATATAACTCAATGATAGACAAACATGGGCTTTCTGCATTAAGTTTCCTGATGGATGACAGAGGCTGTGAGGGGCTATAGAAGCTGACACTTAGGACTGCAGGTTTGGGAGCCACAAAGCCTCCCCTCAAATCCTGCCTCTGTTACTCACTAGTTCTGTGATCTGTGACTATGCCTGTTTCCCAAACTATAAAATCGTCCTCATAAGACTCTTTGGAGAGCTGAATCTTCGTAAAGTTTTTGACACACAAAAAGCATCACACAGCGCCATAGAAAATTAATAGAGCACAGGGTTTTATAAAAGACACAGCATAGCTGGGAGGTGTCTTTCTTTTCTGACTTTTCAACTTCTCTCTCTCATCTTCCCAACCTTCAGCTCGCCTCCCACCATATAGTACTGAAATGGCCTGTCTTCCCAATAATCTCTGGCACAGGGTACCCTAACTAACAGGAGTCCTTGTTATTTTGCCAGTTCCTCACACAGATTCTAGTTGTCCAATCAAACACAGAGGATAGGTGCTGTATTAAGTGTGGCACCTGTTCCTCCACAAAAGGAAAAAAACCTTTCCAGTTTCGCCTTTCCCAGTTACCCTGGAGGGCAAAGTTCAACCCTGCAAGAAGTCTTCTCTCGGGAGCACCTGTAGTACTATGTGTACACACAGGAAATTCATGTCCAGTCTATCAGTGGGAAAGACCATCCATTTGAGGGCTCCATTAAGAGTACCTAGGAATATAGTCAGGCACTTCCTGCTGCGTTCCTCACCCACTATAGCCGCTAATCCTCGGTTACACCTCTAATCACTGTGTTCTGCGGCTATGCTTACAGTAGCCTTTCCCTCTGCCCTGGCAGAGTCTTTGATCAGAAGTTCCATTTATTTGTCCAGTTAGTTGTGAGGCCAAAGAGAAGAAAAGCCTCTCTATTTTTGTTGCTGTTCTTTGAAACAGTGTCTCACTCCGCAGCTCTGGCTGTCCTGGAACTATGTACCGCAGACTGGCTTTGAACTCAGAGATCTGCCTACTACTGCCTCCCAAGAACTGGGATTAAAGACGTGTGTGGCCCGCACCTTTTATTTCTTGATGATTAAGATGTGAAGGGTCACTTTCCTCAAAAGTAGAGCATCTGGTTAAGTGAAGTGTCAACCAACTCCCCCCATTTCCCCACACCGCTCCTTTCAAACTCGGTTCATATACTATCGCTCTTCCTTAAAGGGCTCCCACGATGACCCCAGCTTCACCTTGCAGGCATTTCTTTCTGGATATCCAATTCCCGTACCCTCCCAGGGTCGGTTGTCTTTCAGGCAGTTGCTCATACGCCTCCCCCAGCTATCTCCTCCATCCAGGCATTTCGAAGCGCAAGACACTCTCCCAGCTCTCTCTGGGACAATACTCCAACAACTAACTTACAAAGCCCTGGGTCACTATCTGATGACGGGCAGCAAGGGAGGAAGGGATAAGGGAGGAGAGGACAGAGAAAGAGCGATCCCTGGAGTGGAGCGCGGAGTGAGCAAACGGAGAAGCCGGCGCCCCGCTCCTGGTTTCCGGACCAGAGTGACCTAACGAGGGATCCATGGTCTCTTCAGCCATCCTAAGGACCAACTAAGGGACTTTAGGAGATGAACCCTCACGGGGCAGCACGACTTCCGCCTTCCTGAGGCGTCTCACGTGCGCGAGCTCGGCTACTTCGACTCCGGCCCCAGCGCGCAAGGGTGCGCGCTTCTTGCCGAGTCCCGGCAGGGGCCCCGCGTCTCCCTCCTCCCGGGGCTTCCTCTCCGCACTGACCGTCAATCTGAAGGCAGCTCGCAGTCCCACGCCGCCAGCCGCTGCCCCTACCCCGGGTCCCAGCCTCCAGCGTCCGCGATGGCTCGGGCACCGGGTTGCGCGGCTTGCCGGACTCGGCCTCACACCGGACGGCGCGCAGGAGAGGCCCATGGAGCTCCAGGCGGTGGCGGCAGCCGCGGCTGCGGGAGCGGCCGCCGCGCGGGCCGATGACGCGCGGGCACCGTGGGGAAGGGCGCAGGCTGATGACGCGCCGGCGCGCACGGTGAGCGGAGCGGCATGGCGTCGGTGTCGCTGAGCGAGGCTGAGAAGGTCTACATCGTTCATGGAGTGCAGGTAGCGGTAGCGGCCGCGGGTGCAGGCCGTAGCGCTCAGGGAGGAGGTGCGGGGCGCCTGCGTGGCCGAGACCGACGCGCCGAGGCCTCTGCGGTCCGCGGCGAGAGTGCATCCCGCATGCCTCGATTTCCACAGCTCTCGGGATGGAGATTCATTCCTAGCTTTTCAGGGAGCGGTGGGCCTCTCTTGAGGCTGCTGCTCAATGGAGGAATGTCCTTATGGCCTCCACGCGCTGAAGGGCCTGCGCCTGAGATCCAGTAACCGGAATCCCGGCCCGTGGATGGACGTCTTCAGGCTTCGTACCGAGAGAGATGGAGGCCGTGCATCCGAGGGGAAAGGCCTTCAAAACATAAACTAACAGCAACCCTTCCACTCCCCCCTCCAAAAAGGGAGTGGCGGGAGGTGAGGGGGTGGAGAAGGGACCGCAGCTCAGTAGTGGAGAGCTTGTCCTAGCATGCAGAAGGTGTTGGTGGCTGGCTCCTGTAATCCCAGCACTTGGGAAGTGGAGACAAGAGAATCAGGAATTTAAAGCCAGCTGAGCTATCAAGACCCAGTCTCAAGAAAAGTCGCACTGCTCCGTGTGTATTGCTGACAAATAGGGAAGAGTGGGGAAGTGATTTGTTCTTTTGGCGGTGCTGGGAGTTTATCGTCATGGTCTCGTACGTGCTATGCAGGCGTTCTACACCGAGCCCCATTCCCAGCCCTTCTTTTCTCGTTTTTTTTTTGGGGGGGGGAGCAAAATGGGGGTCGCGTCTTTGTATTCCAGGCTGTTGTGGGACTCACGTCGCCCTTCTGCCTTGACAGAAGGCATGCCCCATCATCACCTGGCTGAGACTGGTAGACAGTAGTGTAGTCGTTTTAGCTTAGATTCCTGGGTAGCTATCATGAATACATGATGTGTACCCAGTCTTGCTTTTGGACATTCAAGAGGAAGAGGTGAAGAGGGTTAACCTGGCAACCATCTCTCTGGTATCATGCAAGCCTCCTCCCTGCAGTTGATCTTGCGATGTAGCCGGCAGATTAAAGCAACGTGTCACCATTTAAACTCCGTAATGCAAGTGACGGCCACGGTCTTTTTAAAAATCCTATGACGTTCTGGTCTCTTCTGTGCTCCTTATAGGGTAGAAATGCCAATATTTAGTCAATAGGTTGCATATTAAACCTGATTAATAAAATCCAAGCCCACCACTCATTAGCTTTTCAGTTCAAGATTAGGAACAGCGGGGTAAATGCAGAATGGTGTTGTGAGGGGGATGTAAAAATAAGGTGGTCAGCCCTGGGGGGAAATGGTGCCTCCCTTTCAGGTTTTTTTTTTTTTTTTTTTTTTTTTCCTGTCAGAATTGTGGCTTTGTCCTAAACCATTCACGCCACGTCATTACGGTGACCGCACTAAAAGCTGCTGGGATTTAAACTTTCAAATTGACAGGAACTGTTAAATGACCTGAAGAAAAAGGAGGCTCCTTGTAAGAGTTGGGAAGCTTCCATCCAGCTGCAGAACACCCTCTTTGATAATAACCATAACAAGCAGTGATTGGCCCTGGTGATTCATCTGCTTTTCTTTCCCAAGCTGTATCCTTCTCAGCGGCCACTTGTGCCCAGCTTCCCTTCCATCTTGGTGAAATCTGCCCCCCCATCCCTGTACCTTTAATTTCACGTGGCTTCTCCATTCCCTGTATCACATTGTGGCCTAACAACTCTTTACTTTTTTGAGGCAGGGTATCACTATGTACCCTTGGCTCTCCTGGAACTTATAGAGATCCACCTGCCTCTGCCTCCTAAGTGCTGGGACTAAAGGTGTGTGCCACCATGTTGGGCTAGCCGGACAACTCTAGAGATCCAGTTCCACTGAAAGAATTGGTCTGTGCTGCTAGTGGTTTGTTACCCTTGGTGTGGCATGCTTTGGATTACACACTCACCTCTGCTGGCCCTGTTGAGGATGGGTAGTAACTCAGGTGGCCACTCCAGAGCTCTAAGCCCCGTGGGATATTCGTTGTCTGTCCCACTGAGTGGTTTAACTGTAACCTCATAGCCAAACTAGGTCGTGACTGTTGATTGGGCTTTCATAGACTTTCCTCTTGGGGGTCTGTCTGAGCTGTTTCACTGCTTTGTTCTTGGCTATTGGAGGAGGACGGCTTGGCTGATGTTTTCTGTATTCCTGCTCCTTTTCTATGGCTTTACCTTTTAGCTTATGTCTGAGTCTGGTCTTCAAGGATAGGATTGAGAGCCGTCAGCTACTCAGTCTGACCATTCAGAAATGAAACCAGTCCCCAGCACATTTCCTTTTTAGCCCTTTGCCCATTCTATTCGCAAACCCATGGCACAGAAAGTCCGTGACCTTATTGGGCCACATCTTTTCAAAGGGATGCAGAGCTGCTCAGGAGGATCGGAGAGTGAAGTAACAGTTGCTGTCTAGTTTTACTTGGCATTTCTTGGGCCTGGTCCCACAAAGCCGGGCCAGATGAGGTTATTTTCTACTAAGAAAACACTTAAATCTCAGTTCTCTGTTAAGAAATGATGAGGTACTGGACATGTCAAAATAAGGAAGATGAAGGGGTTGCCTTTGAGTATGTTGAAGTAGTAACACCAATTGCCTTGTACCACATCCAGGTAGCAGAGTTGTTAAAATGACAAATGTAATAGCTATGCAAGTCTCCAGGAGCTAGCCCAGCAGCCAAAAAACCCTAGTCTAAGGTGCTTCAGTCCCGGCTGAGAAGGGCAGGGTCCATGTCATCATGATGCCCAGAAGCTGTTTCCTTCCCTGTTGACTGGAGCCTTCAGTCTTGGGTGACTTGTCTTAAGTATTCAATAGATAGATTGATCCCTTTGCTTCTCAGACTGCAAATAAATAAATAAATAAAATGCATGGTAAGGCTTCAGGTGCTGAACCAAGCCAGGCAGGTCCAGACACTTCCCTCAGAATTTTATAAGGAAAAGTCATTTTTTAAAAAGTGCTCTTAGTTCAGTGATGCATGGACAGGTTGTTTTCTTTCAGTTTTCGTTACTTTGGAGAGACTGGAACATCCATTAAACATGAAAGGAAAACGTGTAAGTTTTCATTCAGCTCACTCGTCCACTTGGCCTTCCCTAGAAGGCTGAGGGTTATTAGAGGATGGAGAGGCACGGTCCGGTGAGGTCCCGTTTTCTGATGACCACACCGCCCCACGTGGAATCAAGTCACAGGATGACATTTTAAAGGCAGCCCTTGAAACCCTGCGATTGATGGCGTGGCCTGCTGCATTCAGAGTCAGCCCCATCCTGATCAGGGCCACCTCATAGAGCTGGCCACCTCATCTCTGAAGGTTGTCTGTGCTGACTGTTAAGCGGAGAGACCCTTTGAGAAGGTACAGGCTGCGTAGAGTGGTGGGTACGAACTCTGGCCTTGAGTTCAAAGCCTGCTCACTGGCTGGGGGATTTAAGACACTAAGTTAGTAGACGTGGCAGTAAAGAGTAGCTCATTGAGGGCTCATTTTCCTAGACATTAAATTCTGCTGCTCTCCAAACATGTCTCCCGATGCAAGTGATTTCTTCTAGTGAAAGAGTGAGTTGAGCAGGTGGCTGCACGTGGACTTCACATGATTTAGGTGTTTTAATTCCTCTCAGAAGTTGCCGAGAGGGTTAACACGCTGAAGCAGATATGACGGATGGTCAGTGTAGTATTGTGTGGTGGGAGCATGCAGCAATGTTTTGTTTTTTTTTTTCTGTTTAACCTCTCAAAATAAAGTCAGATACATAGGCAGTTAGCCCGACAGTTTAAAGACAAGAATTGATAATCATATATTTAAGAGCAATAGTCTTTCTTTGTTTTCCCTTCTCCTTTTAGAGAATCAACCCTTTGAGGACCTGGTGAAGTTTATTGTTATTTTTAATTATATGTGTGGTTATATACACAAGTGAGTGCAGGTGCCAGCAGAAGCCAGAAGCGTTGGATTCCCTGTGAGCCACCTGATGTGGGTACTGGGAACCCTACTCAGTCTAGAGAGGCAGTATGAGAAGCAGTATGTGCTCTTAATCACCAGGTCATCTCTCCAGCCCCTTGTTAACTATTTTCCTTTTCCTTTCCTTTCCTTTCCTTTCCTTTCCTTTCCTTTCCTTTCCTTTCCTTTCCTTTCCTTTCCTTTCCTTTCCTTTCCTTTTTCTTAAAGTGGGCTAGAGGAATGTCTCAGTGATTAAGATCACCTGTTTCTCTTGCAGAGTTCTCTTCCCAGCACCTACATGGCAGTTCACAGCCACCCATCACTCTAACTCCAGGATCTGATGCCCTCTTCTGACCTTCTCTGGCACCAAGCACACACATGGCTCACATACTGACACACATGCAGGCAAAAGACTCAGATATAAAGTGAATGAATCTAATTTTTAAAAATTCAGAATAAAAATACTTTCAAGGGTGTTTATGAAAAATGAGGACGATCTCGATGAGATGGTTTGGGGCATTTTATTGTATGCAATGTGTGTTTGAAAAAAGAGGAGTATAGGGAGCTGGAGAGATGGCTCAGCGGTTAAGAGCATTGCCTGCTCTTCCAAAGGTCCTGAGTTCAATTCCCAGCAACCACATGGTGGCTCACAACCATCTATAATGATGTCTGGTGCCCTCTTCTGGCCTGCAGGCATACACACAGACAGAACATTGTATACATAATAAATAAATAAATATTTAAAAAAAAAAAAGAAAAAAGAGAAGTATAAAAAGAACATTAAAGGACTAGAAAGATGATTCAGAGGTTAAGAGTACTTGCAACTCTTGGAGAGAGCTCACACAGCTGCTTACAACCGTATTTAACTACTTCCCAGAATTCAGTGCTGCCTTCTAACATCC